AATTTCTCATTCTTTATGGCTGAGTAGTACTCCATTTTATAAAAAAAAACACATTTTCTTTATCCAGTCTCCAGTTGATGGGCATTTGGGTTGTTTCCAAATTTTAGCTATCACAAATTGTGCTGCTATGAACATGGGTGCACATATATCACTGTGCTATGATTCTTTTAATTCTTTGGGGAAGATACCCAGCAGGGGAATAGCTGGGTCAATTGGGACTTCCAGTCCTAGTTCTTTGAGGTATCTCCATACTGATTTCCACAGTGCTTGCACCAGTCTACACTCCCACCAGCAGTGGAGCAGGGTTCCTCTTTCCCCACAGCCCTGCCAGTATTTGTTATTGGTTGATTTCATGATAGCAGCCATTCTTTCTGGAGTGAAGTAGAATTTCAGCATTGTTTTCATTTGCATCTCTTGAATAACCACTGACATTGAACGTTTTTTCATGTGTTTATATAATATTTCTACTTGTCTGAGAAATGTCTGTTCATTTAAGATGCCCATTTTTGGATTGGGTCTTTCAAATTGGGAGGTCTGATTTTTTTTAAGTTCTTTATAGATTCTAGATAATAGACCTTTGATTGAGGAACAGCAGGTGAAATTTTTTTCCCACATTATAGGTTGTCTCTTCACACTGTTGGTTGTTTCTTGCTGTGCAGAAGCTTTTTAATAAGAACAGACCCCATTTATTGATTGTTTGTCCTAGTTCACAGGCAGCTGAGGTTTTGTTCATAAAATGTTGTCCTACACCAATGTCTTCAAGAGTTCTACCTAACCTCTGTTCCAGTGGGTTCAGTGTTTCTGTTTTAATATTTAGATCTTTCATCCATTTCAATTTTAGTTAGGTGCATGGTGAGAGATATACGTCTAGTTTTAATCTTTGGAAGTTGAAACCTGATTTCTCCAGCACCATTTATTAAAGAGGCTATCTTTCCTCCAGTGAGGGTGTTTGACTCCTTTGTCGAAGATGAGGTGGCTGAGTGTGTCTGGAGTTGTTTCTGCATCTTCTAATCTGTTCCACTGGTCCTCAGGTATGTTTCTTTGCCAGTACCATGATGTTTTTATCATAGTAGTTTTGTAGCATAGTTTCAAGTTGGGGATTGTGATAACCCCTGCCATGTCTCTGTTGCCTAGAATTGCTTTTGCTATTCTGGTCCCTTCTTGTTTCAAATGAATTTTTGGATTGTTTTCTCAAGGTCTGCGAAGTATTCTGCTGGAATTTCAATTAGGATTGCATTGAATCTATATAGCAGTTTTGGAAGTATGGCCATTTTCACTATGTTGACTCTTCCTACCCAGGAGCAAGGGATGTCTTTCCATTTTCTGATATCCCCTTCAATCTCTTTTTTCACAGTGCTATAGTTTTCAAAGTAGAGGTCTTTGATTTCTTTTTTTAGATTGATTCCTAGGTATTGCAGTTTCTTGGATGCTATTGTGAAAGGAATTGATTGCCTCATTTCTCTCTCAGTGAGCCTGTATTCTGTGTACAGAAAAACTATTGAATTTTGTGTGTTGACCTTGTATCCAGCTACTTTACTGAATTTGGTTATTAAGTCTAGAAGACTTTTGGTGGAGTTCTTGGGGTCCTCTATATAGAGTATCATGTCATCTGCAAAAAATGACAATTTGACTTCTTTGTATCCTATCTTTATTCCTTTTATTTCTTTCTCTTGTCTAATTGCTGTGGCTAATTGTTTCCAAAACTATATTGAATTGGAGTAGTGACAGTGGACATCCATGTTTTGTTCCTGATTTTAGTGTGAAGGATTTCAGGTTTTGACCATTTAGTATCATATTGGCTGTTGATTTTTCATAGATGGCTTTTACCAGATTGAGGTAGAGTCCATCTATTCCAATTTTTTGTAGGGTTTTTATCATGAATGCATGTTGGATTTTTTCAAATGCTTTTTCTCCATCTATTGAAATGATCATATGGTTTTTGTCCTTGGTTCTATTAATATAGTGTATTACATTTATTGATGTGTGTATGTTGAACCATCCCCACATCCCTAGGATAAATCCCACTTGGTCAGGATATATGATCTTCTTGATCATCTTCTGCATTCTATTTGCCAGTATCTTATTAAGAATTTTTGCATCTATGTTCATTAGTGACATTGGCCTATAGTTCACCTTTTCAGTTGGGTCTTTCTCTGCTTTGGGGATCAAGGTGATGCTTGCTTCCAGGAATGAATTTGGGAATATTGCTTCCCTTTCAATTTCAATGAAGAATTTAAACAGTAATGGTAGTAGTTCTTCTCTAAATGTCTTGTAGAATTCAACAGTGAAGCCATCAGAACCCGGCTTTTCTTAGTTGGTAAGTTTTAAATTACATTTTCAGTTTCTTTGATTGATATTGGATCGTTTAGAATTTTTAGGTCACCTTCATTCAACTTTGGTAATTTATATGTATCTAGGAATCTGTCCATTTCTTTTGTGTTGTCCATCTTATTGGCGTGTAGGTTCTCGAAGTAGGTATTGATGATCCCCTGGATTTCTTCTGGGTCTGTTGTTATTTCACCCTTTTCATTCCTAATTGCATGGATTTGGGCCTTTTCTTTCCTTTTTCTGATAAGGTTGGCTAAGGGTTGGTTTACTTAATAAAACAAGATGTCATATTGACAGGTCTGCATTAAGTGGTTTTACTTGACAATATGGGGATCTAACTTTGCCTTACACAGTCTTTTAATCAACTCTCTTGTTAGGCCCAACTCTTCATTCTGAACTTTCAAAGGAACACAGGGCCTTCAAATACTAAAACTGTCCAGGTTCTAAGGAGGTAATCTGTTTTGTCTCCAGAGACAGGTACATTCAGCTTCTTCTCTCTCCTTGATGTCATGTGCCCCAGATCCAACTTCATTCTGTTCTCTCACTTGCTCTCTTCATCTTTCCAGTTCTTTTTACCCTGGCAGGCTTCTAACACCACCATTGCCCTCTGTGGTTCTCTTTCAGTTGTGTTACTCAAAGGATAACGGGTGTGAGGGTTCAACTTATCATATGGTACTGAAAATCTAAAATCTTTTTTTACAAATATGAAGATAATCAGCATTGTGTGAAAATCATGGCATTTGGAGTCAGATTCCCCTACTTATTCAAGAAAATGAGCTTTGTACACCTGCTGGAGTGCCAGGACCAGAGCGGGCTGTCCCACTTTGGGCGGGCAGCACTCAGTTTCAGGGCTCCCAGGTAATTCAGACATCCTGGCTCTGAGGGCTAAGTGTCCAAAAGCCTTGCAGTAGCTTTGTGGCCTGGAGCAAATCAGCCTATCTCTAAGCTCCACATACAGACATGGGGATTACAATTTCCACATCTTAGTACTTTTTTGAGAATCACAGGAGCTGTCATATTTTGGAAGTGCTGAGTGCCATGTGTTCACATACAAGGGACCACTGACTTGTTGCCTGGCCCTTCTTTCATACCTCTGCCAACAAACCACTCCTTCCATGAGGTGGGTGCTCATGTATTCATTAAAGGAGTGATTAAATTGGACACTCTTGGAATACAGTGGGGGCTGATTTGAAGTCAGGGAAACTTGTGAAGCAGAGCAGAACATTCAGCCACTGAGTGGGATGAAGGAGTGTTAAAGGCAGCCAGTGACCAGAGTCTTTTGACCTCAGACGTCCTTTGATTCGAGAACTTGGGGAGGAATAGAGCATATTGTAGGGTCAGGGAAAGGTGTCCTGCCTTGCTTCTTGGTTGAAAGGGAATAGATGAGGTGGTTATTTAAATTTTTTTTTTTTCTATTTTGCATTGGATTTATGTCAGTTCTGGTTAGCCATTCTCTCCATATTATTCTGGTCCTGCAGAATCATTTGTTTACAGCTGCTCACATTCTGATCCTTCCCAGGGTCAGGGCAGGCCACTCTTCCTCACCTGGGATTGGAGAGTATGTATCTTTCCGCTGAGGACTGCAAATATTGTCACACGAAGGCAGAATGCGTTTGGCATAGTATTGAGGCAAAAGTTTTCATCTGAACGTCATTAAAGCGTGAAAAACAGTAGAGCTTGAAAAAAATTAAATCCAGATAGTAATTTATACCACCTTTCTCTTTTAATCCTCCCCCGGATTTATTTCATCTTCACTTGGCTCTTTCTTTTGTTTTAAAGCCGCTTATTGGAGATAAAATTCACAGAGCACACAACTCGGGCCTTTAAAGTGTACAACCCAGTGGTGTTTCGTCTGTTCACAGAGTTGGGCAACCATCACCACGATCGATTTTAGGACATTTTCAATATCCAAGAAGAAATTCCATAGTCATGATTTGTTTCCTCGTTAAAGAAAAAAGGGGGGAGGGGCAGAAGCCCCAAAGGGGCAAATTAGAAGGGCATAAGCTAGTCCTCCCTGCCGGCCTCCTGCTCCCGAGGGAGTTCACACACCGGGAAGCCCCTTTCGCGCGGGCGCCCTCTCAGCGGCCTGCCAATCACCCGTCCAAGCGCGTCCCAGTCGGTCCCGCTGCAGCCTCCACTCCTCCTACCTCTCAGCTGTCGGGAAATCCTGGAGCAATCATTGCCTTAGAGCTCTTAGTGTTTTTAGTCTCCAGGAACCGAGCTGAATTTTAAATAAATGAATGCATAAATAAATACAAAGAGTGAGTCGGGGGTCTCGTTGCGAAGCTCAGGGTTGTGGATTCCGATGTAGAACAAAAGGCGACACGGCCTCCCGCGGTGGTTAAGGAGGGGAGGCTGCGCTACTCGCTTGTTTGAAAAGTGCCAGCAGGTTGGTGGCTTTGGCCTTGGGCTGGGCATACTTGTGAGTCTAAGTCGGGGGATCTTCTGCTGACTGGGGGCGATTTTCCTGGTAAAGCCGCGGGCAGGGAAACACGTGAGGGAGTCGTAACCCAATTCCCGCTCCCAGGCTGTGACGCCCCCGCCCCCCTCCCCCGCCACCCCTGGGTCCCCACTCCAGCCTGTTGCTTTCCTGGTGGCTCCAGGTCGGTTTTTCTCGGCGACTCTAGTGTGACTTCCAAACTTCTGGGCTCTGGGCACACCTCGGCATTTGCCCCCGCCTCCCGCTAGCTCCGGGCTGCCCAGAGGTCGCCCGCGTCCGTTGCCCGGGAAGCCCACTGAGCTCCGCGGGCCACAGCCTGAGGGCTTGTAGGCAGTCAGTCGGTGGGGATGAAGCCGTCTTGGCTGCAGTGCCGCAAAGTCACCGGCGCCGGGGCACTCGGGGGGCCCCTGCCCGGGTCCTCTTCGGCCCGAGGAGCCGGTGTAGCCCTCAGGGCTTTGGTAGCCCCGGGCCCGCGGGGCGCTCTCGGGGGCCGGGGCTACCGAGCGCTGTCCTCTGGGAGCTGCGAGTACAAGACCCACTTTGCGGCCTCGGTGGCGGACCCCGAGAGGTTCTGGGGCAAAGCTGCTGAGCAGATCAGCTGGTACAAGCCCTGGACCAAAACGCTGGAGAACAGACACCCGTCCTCCACCAGCTGGTGAGTGACTTCTAGGCCAACCCCGATGCTTCCTAACTCTTTAGGCCCCAAGAACTCCGACATCCCTGGGATCTAGAATCTGGATTTCCATCAGGAGAGAAAAGAGACATTTGAAATGATCAACCTTTCAGTTTGTGTCTGCTTTCAATCTCAGAGCCAGCTGTCATTTCCCTTACCTGAAGTCCTGCATATCCCATAACCCAGAGCTTTACTTGGCAGGCGCTCTGAGTGTGGAGGGACTGGAACAAAGGGCTGCCTCTGAGGCAGCGCAGTGGGGCCAAGCAACACCACTGCACACAGCATCAGGAGCTTCCCCTAGTTGGGGGAAGGCATTCAGTGCCAAGTAACTGGCATCAGGCGGGGAAGCAGCTTGTCTTTATGAAACTACAGCTCGAAGTGCTGAGAAAGAATGCAGATGTAGGACAGGAGCTACTGGGGTCATGGTAGGAGTTGTTTTCTTCCTTGAGTTGCAGTGTTAAGGAGTTATAGGCATTGTTTTGTTATTACAACAAGCAGAATACATGGCACACTGATGCCAAACTTGCTAAGATATGGAGGAGGAGGCACATGGTCTGTGAGGGACTCTGAATGGCTTCCATGTGCCCTGCTTGTAAAGAAAGGTGGCTCTCATCTTCTAGCCATGAGAAAGAAAAATTGTCTATAAAAGTTTGAAAAAGCACTGATCAGCAGTTAGGCCAGGGGAATGACAGCCTCACGTCTGCGTTTGAGGAACGCCCCAGCCCAGAGCAGGCAATCTGGCCAGGAATTGGTGGGAGCGTGTTCTGTGACTGCATTTCTCTTGCCCTTTCTGTTTGTATGGAAGTGTTTACATGATGTTCACTTTTCAATGTGAGCACCTAGCCCCTCCATTTCCATTTTTTTTTAGTAGTATTTGATTGATCCTCTTTTAAGCACCAAGACAGCAAGGTCGGCACAATGTGTACAACAGTGAGGAAAACATAGCTTCTGTTTTCTGGGACCTGTGAAGATTAATAACATGTACTCAGGGCCTCCGGGCTTGAGTTGCCTTTCACAATTACTGACAGTGTTCACAGGCAAGTTACTCAACCTCTGTGTCTTCATTTTTCGTAAATTCAAGTTACTAGTTTAAGCATTAACTGATCAAAGGATTAAGATCATGTCTTGTAAACAGTAGACCCTATGAATGTTAGAGGAAAAATAGATACCTTTGCATTCTCATATCACAACATTTTAGGGGTGAGAAATACTCTGTACTCCTCAGATCAAAACCCAGAGATTATTGTCTCTTCAAAGAGACAATATGTATGTGGCTTCCTTACTTTGTTCACCAAGGTAGGTGTACATGTATATGTCTATCATAAAACATGACACTGTAATTATTTTATGTGGCCATCTTTACCATAAAACCAATGTGCTGAAATTTCAGTTAGGAAGCCACTGGAGCTGGGTGTGGTGGCTCACACCTGTAATGTCACTCTGGAGGTTGAGGTGGGAGGATCTCAAATTTGAGGCCTACATGAAATACTTAGAGTTCAAGGTCAACCTGGGCTACATAAGAAGATCCTGTCTCAAGACACACACAAATGAACAAACAGAAAGTAGCCACTAGAACACTGTAAGGCAAAACCACGGGGGGCCATACCAAAGGCAATGGCAATAACAATGGAGGGGAAAGAGAGACTGGAGCCATTTCAGGGGGAATGATAAGGGTCAGTAAAGGCCCAGAGGAATCCAAAGAAAGTGGAAGTCAAAGTGTCCAGAAAATACACCCTAAGGACCTGTAGTTTTCCTTTCTAATACTTTGGTTCTTTCCTCCTCCTCCTCTTCTCCTTCTCCTTCTTCTTCTTCCTTTTCTTCCTCCTCTTCTCCTTCTCCTTCTTCCTTTTCTTGCTCCTCTTCTCCTTCTCCTTCCTCTTCTTCCTTTTCTTGCTCCTCTTCCTCCTCCTCCTTCTCTTCTTTTCCTCCTCCTTCTCCCTCCTCCTCCTCCTCCTCCTCTTCCTCCTCCTCCTCCTCTTCTTCTTCTTCTTCTTCTTCTTCTTCTTCTTCTTCTTCTTCTTCTTCTTCTTCT